AAAGCAACAGCACCAACTCGGCTATTTATCCAAACCAGGTCGGTTAACAAATATGCGACCAGAAGGATAATGTTGTTAAGTTAAAAAACTGCTCTAATATGAATTGTTAATGGGGAAGTGGGAGGGAAATTTTTGTTTCCTTATAAATGTGACTTATATTTTAAATAAGTATATATATTACGCAAATACCTCGCAAATTACTCATTTAAATTGGTTTTTGTATCTAAATCCCGTTAAACTAGTCACATGTTTCTTGCCAGCCACCAGCAGGGTTGCCTAAGTAGCTAAAAGGAAATTTTATCCGGGTTGGGCGTTCTTTTGTCGCTCGCTTACAAAAAAATGCACTTATTCTTATTATTCTTAACAAACTACCTTGCTTCTACCGCTCTTAAGCCCCCTTACCTGGCCTTATAAGTCCACCACTCTTGTACCTTTATCATGCTTAGACCATCCTTGGTCGTCTAATTTGGACAGCCTAAGCGCTCTCTCGCTTCTTTTTGTCGAGCTCCAGATTTCTCAGACCCAGATACTCTTGCGAAATGGACACGTAACTTGACAGCGGAGTAGCTGGTGCTCGCGGGTCCGATTAAGTGGTCTTAGTTTCTTCTGATACGCCTGCGACAACCGCAGTATCTCTGGTAGGGACTGTCCCCTGTCATTAACTTTCATCTCCTCAGGCGCTTCAGCTTCTTGGCGTTGCTTTACGGCTACTCTTCAATGTCGATCTTAAGGCATAGGCGTATATCACCTTTACTTCCAAAGGCAACGCTCCATTAGCGCAGCAAAAAAATCGATTTCGACAACATCGATATTTTTACTCTAATTGTTGATAAAGATCGATTATTATCGATTGCAATAGAATTTTCAGTGAAAGCTATTAGGCATGTGCTGCAAATCATAAGATCTGAAATCGGTACGATTTACAAAACCTAGTTTTGAAATATCTCAACAAAAAATAAAATAAAAAATTTACTTAAGCCAATAGAAATGACGAAAATCATGTGGTAGAAATATATGTAGTTTCTAATTTCCATTAATTAAATATCTCATAGGCTGCTCGTAAAAATCATAGATTACACGTTGCTTCAAAAAAAAAACAAAAAAAACACAACATACACCAGAACAAAATTTAATGTAGGTTGTAGGTAGGAGCGAGTATAATTTGAAAATAGGTTTCTTTTAGTTCCTGAACCCTCCATTTTCATTTTAATTTAAAACAACCGTTATGTTCGTACTTGATGCACTTACTGTAAGAACTTGACTATTTTTCATCTGATTTTAGAAATAAAACATGTTTTAAAAATGGAATTTACAAAGATTTAAAACGATGTATAACAATTTATTTTAGACTTAGCTTGTTGGGAGTTTTCATCGGATAAAACTAAAAAAAAAACACCCTATTTTTCTTAATTTGTTTAACTTTGACCATTGCTTATTTGAAAAATTGCCAAAAGTACATTTATTTTCGAATAAATTGTTACCTACATACAAATACAAATGGTCGAAGTTAAGCAATTTAAGTAAAACTACGGACTTTCAGATTTTTTGACCTGTGTCTAAAGAATTCATCTATGCATGTAATGGTTTTTAGCACAAAAATTTTTTTTATTACAATTTTTCAAAATGGGTGCGGCACCACCCATCAAATTTGATATACACATTGTGCTTACCCTCCTTAAGCACGATCTTGAATTTTTTTAAATTACCCAATGTAATTTTAGTTTTACAAATAGCGAAGGAAGTTTCTTCGATTTTAATCAATTTCGCCCCACAGCATCGATGTTGTGCCAAAAATTAAACAAATCGATGTATCGATATCAGAATCGATTTTTTTTTTTTTTTTTTTTGCATCTCTACGCTCCATGCTGAGCTGTGTGTTTACACGCTAAAAAATTTGACTGAGCCCATTGATTACTTTTAGCTATCATAACCAAGCACGCGTGATTTTGCGTTTCTTCATTCCCCGAAATATCCAGTTAAATTAACATAAATAGCGTATAAACAAAATTTAAACTAATGAATAACATTGGCAGAAAAAATAATTACCATTTGCCATTTCGCTTTCTTTCTTTTTATCTCGCATCGCTACTCTACTATCCGCGTACAAATTAAAATTACAAATAGTATCTGCAAACGCCATTAAACTGCAATTGTCCGAGATTGTATACTACTCGGATGTATATACGATTGTTCCATTAGTTATCTAATAATGACCAGTTGCTCGATATTTGTTTATATTTTTTTTTCTCTCAAAATCGTTTCTTGGGTGTCGTTCATCTTAATGTGGCGGCAGCATTTAGCGGCGCACTACACAAGTGGATACACATCATTAGTTTCTCACGTGAATCACGTTAAAACATTTTGTTTCACATCCAAGCATCACAGCGAGGTCTACAAAATTTTGAGCATATTTTTTGTTTCCACGGAAATTCACGTTTTTACACTTCAATGTGTTATTTAAGTGAATCAAGTAGAATTTTGTAATACTTGCGAAAATTACCATACCATATGCGTATATGTATGTATGTGCGTAGTTTTATCTGCAATGTTAAACATCATTAAGTGCATAAAAAGGTACGTAAGTAGCAATCAACACTCGATCAACCGCCGAAGGTCAATTGCCCAAGGACTAAGTGTGATTTGTAAAATTTGTTTGAGTTATACACAGATTTGTGAAGTAGCGGTAAATTGAAAATTGTGCAACCTTAATATTATTTGGGCTCATTACTTTTTCGTTTACCTAAGATTTTTTGAATGTCTCACTTCTTGATGTGACCTTATAAATAGGTGCAATGAATCTTCAATTGACTTGAGTTCATCAGAACGCCTTTCGACTGTTTAATTTTTATTTTATTTTTTTCTCCTTGTTTGGCGTAAATAATAACCGCAACCGAACCCAATAGAGCACACGTCTGCGGTTTTTCTTCTGTGCCAACTGACACCAATTGCAGTCTTTCAGTCGCCGCAGAGGCATTCCTCTTCCTCTGCTAGCATTCCAGCGCATTCTGATTTAAATTTTAGATTTAGTTCGCTGCACTATGCCATGGCTTGCAGACCAATTCCGGGCACGCAGCGGTCTTCAAGGTAATTAATAAAGGGCGGCCTGTTGGAATCAAGGCCGACTTAGATCTCGAAACTAATTACAAATTTTAGTCTTAAGATTCCCATACATTTTTCAACTATGGAATATTGATAAAACAGTGTACTGTCAGTAAAAGATGGTATTTCCATCTATACCGATCGCTCTAAGATGCAAAAAGGCGTTGGCATACTCCAAGAACCTATAGATAAGGGAATCATATCGCCTTCCTGCTTTGAGGCGGGATCTTTGCGGTCATTTAGAGGGCGGCTTGTCTCAAACGGAATAGCAAGAGTCTATCAAGGAACGTTAGTTTATTCATTGACAGCCAGACGGCATTGAAAACGTTAGCTCCCAAGGTAGTAAAGTCGAATTTAGTTCGAAAATGTCGTGCGTCGTCGTTGACTTTACTGAGTCACCTGAAAACCTCTCCTGCTAACTTGCTGGACATAGCAACATATATCGTAGGGAATGAAATAGCCGACGAGATGCGGAAGCATCTCAAACATTTGCGACTGCGATGTTTGAAAAGTTTTGCGAGATAGCGGAATCGAAAATATCGGAGCTCCACAGTTTCATCTAGGATAGTAAATGGTTTAAAAGACAGCATACTGGCAATAAGAAATAACTTCGGTTAGAAGGGTGTGCATCCTCCTGGCACTCCTAGAGGGCATTCGCTATGTGCAAGTCTACCTCCAATAAAAAAAAAATCATATTAGAATATTCCGCATTGTATTAAAAAGGAGCAAATTTATAAAATCCTACGAAAATTTCAGTTTCATAAGCTAAGTGGCAATGTAAATTCACTCTTAGTATTTCATACCATAGGGAAATAAACAAAATTTTCAACGAGGTGTTAAAGCATTGATTGACCGTAAACTGAGATTATTTGAAAGATGGATCAAAGAGAAAGGTCTGGAATGAAATCCAGGCAACAGTCACCTGGTGCTTTTCACTAGGAAGTACAAGATCCCTGTTACAGGCAATACGACGCTGGAGTTAGAGGAACCCGCAAAAACCTTAAACATAATACTGGATAAAAGGATAAGCTAAGTGGTTGTTTAGCTGTAGACTCTGTCTGCCAAACAGAAGAAGTACGAACTTGCGAGAGGACGCATTCGTTCCACTTTCGCAGTCGTGGAAGAGTTTAGACATGCCGCTCGCTAGCTGCAGCTCAATTCAAGGGGTATATCTGTTAAACAAGCAAGTTATATATGTGCAAGTCTCATGACCTGGAGCAAGGCAAAACTGAAGTGGCCAGAAAGGCACGAGAAACAGTCGAAGGGTCTCCTTATGCTGGTCAGAAGGTGCTTATCTACAGCCATGGGTCTGCTAACAGGCCACATTGGCATCGGAAGACAAGAGGAGAGGTTGGCGGTTTTGCCTCCAACGACTTCTGTAGGATCTGCAAAAATGAAGAAGATCCCGAAACCTTTGCGACACCCGTTATGCGAATTTGCCGTGCTCTGTAGAAGAACAAAGAAATTGATGGGTTCAGATTTTCCGAGGGTTCAACCGCCATAGCTAAAGTAGGATAACTATATTAGTATATTAGCAGTAAGATAACTATTTATTAGGTACCGGAGATGGTTTGTGTTTGAGGAGGGTTTTCCCATTCCGTGTGTTATCACAACGGGCACAAAAATACCGAATAGTTGACCACTGGCAGCCACAGCAGCAGCACTGAACGATATCCTCTACATTCTACAAGAAAAAAATTAAGATAAGAGTATTTTTTTTTTTTTAATACTCGAATTCATAGTTTAAAACATTTTACCAACTACATACGTCATATCAAAATAAGAAAGCGATTTCGGTGCCATCTACAACTGAAATCCCACTTCTTATCTCATCTGCGATCATCTCCATAATCCATTGAGAGAAAGGCATTGAAATGCAATGAGAAACGAGATCAGTAGAACAGCAACACTTGGGAGGTGATGAATAGCTGCGCTAAGTGATATTTTTGTGGCTTCAACACAATTCAAACAAAACCAGTAGTGCATGAACCTCGCAACCATTTTAGTAATACTTAATAAAATATACTATTCTGCACGAAATGCATTTAACTAAATAGAGTAAATAAAAATTTTGTGTGCCATGTCCCACCCCACGATACGCTACAACGAGGAGCGCAGAGAGGTGAGTGAGAGCAGCGATTAAATAGTGCATGCAGAGAATAAATAAAACAATTAACTCTAGTCTTTCCATTTATCAACATTAGCATAGAAACAAACATACTTACAAAAAAATACTTATAAACAAACTCGCCTCTCCACAGTTGCTTCTAGCCCATTGCCACTATGTGGTACTACCACCGGAGCTAATCGATGTATTTGGTGAATGCACCGAATACTTAGATTGCAGTCACAATCGGCTAATGAACTTATCATATTTGTATGAATTTACAAATTTAAAATATCTTATTCTCGACAATAACCGCTTGCATGAGGCGCATTTCAATCAATTGCAATGGTCGCTACCGAAGGTGAAGCTGCTGATGTTAAACCGCAACGAGGTGTGATGATGCTATAATTTTAGCTTATGCTTACTTTTATAATCTTCACCTAATCACTATTAATTCTTTTGAAGCTTATGGATCTTGAGAAGACAATTACGCTGCTAGCAAGCATTTTTCCCAATCTTGAATATTTAAGTTTGCATGGTAACCCAATTTGCCCCGATGAGTTGGAGCTGCAGCCGTTTTGTGAATACGTGAATTATGAATATGAATATTACAGGTAGTTATTATTTTGTGCACTAAAATTTTATTCACAATTTGAGTAATTTTTTTTTTATGTACTTTTTATAGATCGCAGATCGCTGGCGCTTTTAGCAAACTTAAATTTCTCGATCATTATGATCTGCAACGACCTTATCGCAGATCAACGCTCAAGCCAAATGCAAATAATGAACACCAAAAATCATTAAATTTTTTTATTTGGCCTAAATTTCGGCACAGTTTGAATAAAAGGAACTTGCCGCCCAAAAAATCAAAGCAACAATAAAGCAACTTTAATTTTGGTAACAGCATTCTTTACAATTTATTGTTTCATTTCTATCTGTCTTACAACAACTTTTTTAAGGTAAACTAAGCAAATTGCAAGCGCTCGGCTTGATATACATAGATGAATGCATCAGAGAGGGATGGGAACATTACGGACAAACGGTTGTAGTTATGTAGATACTAGCTTCCGCCAGCAGCTCCGCCTGCGTTAAGTTTGGTTTAAAGTTACGATTTCAAATATAACAAAAAAAGTAAATAATTTATATCAGCGCAAATAACACCTTTTATTATATTACTGTCTCGAGGTTCCAGAACATGGCCAAGGTTAAGAACTGAACTGAATTGATTCTTTCTGTATAAAAAAAAAAACTATTAAAAAAGTACCTCCAAGTGACGCAAAGCATCTATATTTTATTCGCAAAGGATTTTATAGCATAAACGTATTGATTGTATGTATGGTTAATATACCTACAGTGACTCAAACAAGTGACCATGTGTAGATTGTTTTTAATATTCGAAATTTTTTTTCGAGTTACATTTTTTTGGTTATTTTTCTATAAAAAATACAACCCAAGTTTTAACCAAAACCATGATGCAGAATAGAATGGTGGAGTATTCCACTACCAACTGCCTCTGACATCGATTTGACATCATCCACCCATTCGCAGACGCCGTACAATACTTTTTCGCAATAGGGAGGAGAAGAGAGTTTTTTGCTCATCCGACGCTCAATTGAACCCTTCGTTGGCAGGGGTTTTTATGCAGCGGGGGTCAAAGCCAGCGCACAACCTATTGCTTGGGTTTGCCTTCTCATGATTCTACATGATTCAACTTTCACAGGCGATTAGTTGGAACAAAAGTTGAACGAAAGTAGGCAGGCGACCAACTTCATTGAAAGCGATTAGTTGAAAAGCCCTTTACATCAGGCGATTGTTGCTTTCAGCTAAAAGTTGCCTGCAAAACGCCTCATGTAAATTCCCTTTTAGTATAAAGACACTGGAAGTCGTGGGCTACTTAAGCCGGATGCAAAAGAGCCGTTTTTAGCCATCGCTGGTGAATGGCGATCAAAAACTTTCGCTGCATGCGTGAACTTCTGCAACCGGAACCACGAATGTATTTACCCATATTGTTTACATATTATGGCTATAGATGAATTTATTATATTTGAATCACACTGTGTTGCTCCAAAAAAGCTCCAAGCGCTGGTACCCAAGACACTCACGAACAACAAAATGG